CGGGGGCGGCGAGGATTCCGAACTCACCTGGGTCAAAGAAGGCACGAATCGGAGCAGCAATGCAGCTGCCGTGGCGGAGCAACGCAACTGTCTTTTGCGTCGACGCGAAGGTGACACTGCACCGGCCTTTTTTCTGGGGGAGCGACGCAACGGAAAAGACCCTTGGATCCTTTTGCGGAGCCCGTTTTAACAGTCGCGGACGGCACCGGCAACCGAATCGTCACCCCCCTTGGCATCGACTCACACCACGGCACCAGTTCTCCCCTCACCCGATCGTGGCCCTCAACCGACGGATCGACGTCCCATACTTTCCCGGGATTCGAATCGTCGCCCGCTGGCCACCGATTCTCACCGTGGCACCGGTTTTCCCCGCACCCGATCCTGGGCCTCAGCCGACGGATCGACAACCCAGACTTTCCCGGGATTCGAAACGTCAGTCCTGCGGCACTGATCCCCCCGAGGCACCGGGTCACGAAACCCACACCCCGCAAGCCGCATTCCCTCGCAGGCCTTCGACAGAAAGTATAAATAGTTTTGTGGGCCCACCATTTCCCATTTCTGCAAGTTCGTCGAGAGCAAAGGAGCGTCGCGGAGGTTCGCAAAGCGTCCGAAGCAGGCGGAGCGCTGACTCGCACATTGGAGGCTCGCGCAATACGCAACAGAGATCTCGCTCGCACATCGGAGGTTCGCGCAGCATCGGAGCGAAGTTGTGAGCATCCGCATCGAAGGCAGCAGCGAAGGCCTGGGAGAATGGTAAACCGCCGTGAATCAACCACGTGCTGCCACGTGGCATCTCCGCCCATGCAGAGGCCGCCGTCGAGTCGAACTCGACAGGGGCATTGTGGAGTCGAACTCGACAATGGCCCGGGGTCATCGTCGAGTCGGACTCGACAAAGGGTCGGGTCATCGTCGAGTCGGAGTCATCGTCGAGTTGAACTCGACAATGGCCCGCGGTCATCGTCGAGTCGAACTCGACAATGGCCTGTGGTCCTTGTCGAGTCGGACTCGACAATGGCCAATCCGCCGCCATCGAGTCGAACTCGACGGCCGGCCAGTAGGGCGTCGTCGAGTCGAGGTCGACAGTGGCCAGTAAGGCGTCGTCGAGTCGAACACGACGACCGACAAGCACCAAAGCCTATGACCACTGTCGAGTCCGACTCGACGATGACCCCGGGCCGTTGTCAAGTTCGACTCAACGATGACCACAGGCCGTTGTCGAGTTCGACTCGACGATGACGACAGGCCAATGTCGAGTCCGACTCGACGATGACCCTGGGCCATTGTCGTTCATCGTCGGGTCGGTCTTGACAATGGCGAGATGAAATCGTCGATGGCCTGGGGTCATCGTCGTGTCGGACTCGATAGTGGCCGGAGGCTTCGGCGCTTGATAGCCGTCGAGTTCGACTCGACGACGCCGTACTGGCCACTGTTGACTTCGACACGACGACGCCCCATTGTCGAGTCCAACTCGACAATGGCCCGCGGCTTTGGCGCTTGCCGCCCTCGTTTTGGACTCGATGGCCCCCTGCTGGCCACTGTTGACATCGACTCGACGACGCCCTGCAGACCCATCGTCGAGTTCGACTCGACGACGGCGGGCTGGCCATTATCGTGTCCGACTCGACAATGGCCAGAGGCGTTGGAGCTGGCCTGCTGTCGACTTTGACTTGACAATGGCAAGCCGACCGTCGTCGAGACGAGCTCTACGAACTCGACCTTCGGCAAGCGCCAAGGCTTCTGGCCATCTGTCTGAGCTCTGACGATTGTCCGTCATCGACCTTGTCGCGACGTACGCGACAATGGATAGCCGCCGATGGAATTTGTCGTTCTGTGTGTTTTCTCCTTCTGTTTTGGAAATTTGCTATGCCTGGTTGTTGTGTATAACTGCGATGGCTCCTCAGTGTGTGAGCGAGTTCGACCTTAGCAATGGCTGCCTGTTGAGGTCGTCAATCGTTTGTGTGTGTAGGACATTTACGATGGCTCACTGCTTCGATTACTCGTTCCCTTTGAATGCTACCACGAGGTACATACAAGGTTCAAGGGGGGAGACAACTGTACTTGGGCCCCGTAGAGCCCTGGCTTGAAAGGCCCTTCGATGCATGGTCCGAATTAGACTGGGAGAACACAATGAAAAACTGCCCTTGGGCATCTGATTATCGACTAGCATCCAGCCAAGAATGGGGGACATTCATCTTCCTCGACCACATCCTCGTGACGAAACACACGCCGGTGTTGTCCGTGGCATTTCGTATCCGAGACTTGTCTTTGTCGTTGACTGCGCACAACGTGTCGTGTTCGCCGCGCTTGTGGGGACCATCGATGAAGATGGAGTTGCTGGACTGCGCAAAACAGAACTAGTTTCTAGAGAAATATCCCCTTCGTTTCGAGGACAACTTGACGGGGAGTGTGTCGTTCTTCTGCGTACATGTTGATCTCTGTCGTTTCTATTTCGCTAGGGTTCTTTGTGTTTCGGTAAGAAATAGAAGTAAGACTTCAGTGGAAGCAAGTATTTACGTGTCCAGGAACGAGCTCATCGTTGACGGGGACTCGATTATGTTACCGCATGGTTGGAGGAACAGTAAGTTTGACGTGAAACAGGCGGGGCAGGTTGACACACCCCGGCATTGGGAGGAGGTCGAGGAGTACGTGACTGTCATTAGAGACGCCATCGGTCACACTTTAGCCAGATCATGTGGTTTCGTCCGTGCGGGATACGTGTCTTGCTTCTCCGCCACTGCAACCGTGTGCAGTCCACAGCTCCTAACGTACGGTTCATCCCTGAATGCAGTGTACGGTTTCGGGGCGAAAGGATAGGCGAGGTCGTGGGGGAGGTCATGGGAGATGAACAGTGTAGGACATGTCAGCTATTCATCTGTTCATCAAAAGTGAAAACCGAGACTGTGTATGCGTGTGAGCATTGAGTTTGATGTGAGCTTATCGATGCCGGTTAAACCTCTCTCTCTCTTTCTCTCTCCTTATGTGTGTGTGTGTATGGTTAGTAATCGGTGGAGTGTACTGTTAGTCGCTGGTTGTGGGTGCCGGTTGCATGCCTTGCCAATTGAATGCCTTGAATTGATATAGGATGTAGGCTTCCAATTGATGTGCCTTGATTGGTGTGCCTTGTTGGTGACGCCGCTCCCTATTCAGCAAAAGATGAACAATGTGAGAAATGTGGGCTATTCAGCAAGAGTGTGAAATGAAACTCTGTGCATTATGGAAGCAATGGGTTTGATGTGAAATTGTCAATGTCGGCTTTCGATTCGTTTGCCTTGTTTAATGTGACTTTTAGGTGCGCCGCTCCCATGTTCTGTTTGCCTGCTGTTGGGTACGCCGTCCCTTTCCCGTGTTCTGTTTGCCAGCCCGATCGAGTCGAACTGTCGCGCTGGCCCGCCACGTTCGAGTCAAACTCGATCGAGTCGACCTCCACCGAATCCATCTCCATCGAGTCGAGCACGATCGAGTCTAACACGATCGATTTGAACACGATCGAGTGGAACACGATCGAGTCAACACGATGGAGTCGAACACGATCGCCTGGACTCATGATTGGCTGGACTCACAATCGGCTGGACTCACGTTCGAGTCGAACAAGATCGCCTGGACTCGCGAGGACTCACGATCGACTCGAACACGATCTAGTCCAACACGATGGAGTCGAACACGATGGAGTCGAACATGATCGCCTGGACTCACGATCGCCTCGACTCACGTTCGAGTCGAACACGATCGCCTGGTTTCACGATCGAGTCGAAAAATTTCGCCTGGACTCGAATTGATATTGGATGTATGCTTCCAATGGATGTGCCTTGATTGGTGTGCCTTGTTGGTGACGCCGCTCCCTATTCAGCGAAAGATGAACAGTGTGAGAAATGAGGGCTATTCAGCAAGAGTGTGAAATGAGACTGTGTGTATTATGGAAGCAATGGGTTTGCTGTGAAATTGTCAATGTCGGCGTTCGATGCGTCTGCCTTGTTTGATGTGACTTTTAGGTACGCCGCTCCCGTGTTCTGTTTGCCTGCTGTTGGATACGCCGTCCCTTTCCTGTGTTCTGTTTGCCAGCACAATCGAGTCGAACTGCCGCGCTGGCCCGCCATGTTCGAGTCGAACTCGATCGAGTCGACCTCCACCGAGTCCACCTTCATCGAGTCGAACACGATCGAGTCGAACACGATCGAGTGGAACACGATCGAGTCGAATACGATCGAGTCGAACACGATCGAGTCGAACACGATCGAGTGGAACACGATCGAGTCGAACACGATGGAATTGAACAAGATCGCATGGACCCAAGATCGGATCGAACACGATCGCCTGGACTCACTATCGCCTGCACTCACGTTCGAGTCGAACACGATCGCCTGGACTCGCGATCGAGTCGAACACGATCGCCAGGACTCACGATCGACTCGAACACGATCGAGTCGAANCGATCGAGTCGAACACGATCGCCAGGACTCACGATCGACTCGAACACGATCGTCTGGACTCACGATCGAGTCGAACACGATCGCCTGGACTCACGATCGACTCGAACACGATCGCTTGGACTCACGATTGCCTGGAGTCAGGTTTGAGTCGGAAACGACCGTGTTGAATACGACACGCACACGAGCGCCTGGACTTACGGTCGAGTTCAAGCGAGCTCAGCAACCGCAATCGAGTCGAACACGATCGAGCTGGCCTGTCACCAGAGATGAGCAGTTTGTTTTTGAAATGCCACTTCACCCAACCCACCCAAAATTTTCTTAGTACAAGCAACCCTTAAAAAAAAAAAAAAAAAACGGTTTGAAGCTGATCCAACCCACCCAAGCACTTTTTCGAATTTTTCCGCCCACGCCCAACCCACCCGCCACCCGTAAAAAAGGTTCACCC